CCAAAGAAGAATGGCAAATGGCGTGTCTGCGTCGACTATAAAACAGTCAACAAGGCGTGCCCAAAAGACAGCTTTCCTCTATCACGGATAGATCAACTGGTAGACCTAACGGCGGGGCACAACCGACTTAGCTTTCTGGATGCATACAGAGGCTACCACCAAATCGCCATGCATGAACCAGACCAGGAGGTCACATCCTTTACAACTCCGAGAGGACTATACTGTTACAAGGTCATGCCCTTTGGCCTGAAGAACGCAGGGGCAACATTCCAACGAATGGTCACCAAGATGTTTGAACCATTGTTAGGAAGAACGATGGAGGCTTACATCGACGACATGGTGGTCAAAAGCAAGGATGAAAATGACCATCTCAAGGACCTAGGTGAGATGTTTGAAATCCTAAAGAAGCACAAGTTGCGCCTCAACGCATCCAAATGTGCATTCGGTGTAGGATCTGGCAAATTCTTGGGCTTCCTTGTGACCAACTGGGGTATAGAAGTGGACCCCTCCCAGATCAAAGCAATTCAGGATTTGGAGAGACCAAACTTAGTAAAAGAAGTACAGCATCTCACCGGCATGGCGGCCGCACTCAACCGGTTCATAAGCCGATCGTCAGACAGACTACGACCATTCTTTTAAGCTTTAAAAGCCAAGTTCGAATGGGACGAAGAATGTGACCAAGCACTGAAAAGCCTGAAACAATACATGTCCTCTCCACCATTGCTGGTCACCCCAATACCAGGAGAAGAACTCTTCATATACCTTGCAGTCTCTCAGCACGTAATTAGTGCAGTGTTGGTCCATGCAGAAGGAATTCAACATCTGCCCATCTATTATGTCAGCAAGACATTGCTAGGAGCCGAAACAAGGTACTTGCCATTGGAAAAGCTTGCATTGGCCCTAATGATGGCCTCCAAGAAATTAGCACACTACTTTCACGCCCACACCATAGTTGTCCTCACAGCTTTTCCACTAAAAGCTTTGTTTGAAAGGGCGAACTTTTCTGGACGAATTTTGAAGTGGGCAGTAGAGCTGGGGCAATTCGACGTCAAGTTCCAACCTAGAACCGCAGTAAAAGCCCAATCTTTGGCAGACTTCGTCGCAGAGTTTACTCCTGGAAGTCATCATATCTGTCCAGTCGACCTAACTGACACTACCGAACTAGGGATAGAAGATGACGCCGGAATAGCGCAATCCCTAGCAGAAGGTACTCAGTCAAACTAGAAGGCAGACCAGACTAAAGACAGCAAGGAAGAAACAAACCAATCTTCAACAAACCAAAACTCACCAACAAATAAAAACTTGGTTCAATCAGATTGCGAGGGGTAGACAGCAAGCATGGACCTTGAAGAAAACACCAGCAACGTTCTTGACCCCACAACATCATCCGACCCCTCCACTTGCTGGACGTTGTTCGTTGGTGAGATGTGGAAGCTCTTTGTGGATGGAGCATCCAACCGGCATGGTGTAGGACTTGGCATAGTCC